CTCTCTCTCTCTCTCTCTCTCTCTCTCTCTCTCTCTCTCTCTCTCTCTCTCTCTCTCTCTCTCTCTCTGTGTGTATGTGTGTGTGTGTGTGTGTGCGTGTGTGCTCTAATTTAACTGGGTCTATCTTGGGGAAATTGCCAAACTGAAATACACGGTTCTTCAATGTTTCCTGGCGAAAATATATCTTCACAACAAAGACCATTGGGGGAAGGTGTATATTGTTGCGATTGAAAAAGTTATTTCTGACATGAAGGTAGGGTATTTTGTTGCAATGAGAAAGGTATTTCTGTCATGACAGTTTCTTGCTAAGTTATATTTGCCTGGAAGCATTAGGAAACTACGGAAACGTGTATTTCTGCCGTTCCCTGTTCTTATATTATCTTAATTGATCTATTCAATTCATTCTATCCTATGCTTCATTGTATTTTCACAGGAGTATCTTTCGCACACAGTCCAGTTTCCTATTTCCGAACACCTAGAAGTTCGGAAATTAAAATAAGTTATCTCAGGCGCAGCGAAAACAACGTGCGCTCGTGCACCTCATGTCGCCATGAAGAGGAAGTTACCATTTTGATCAAATTCCACAAGTCCGTTTTGTGAGCAAGGGCGTCATAAGATACTCCTCGGGGACGCGACTCGAAGGATTTTGTCGTTATTACGCCTGTCCTTGGAGATGAAATTTGAAATGAAAGTGTGAAAACACTCCCTAGGACAAATCCTCGGGCTCTGAGGATTTCCCAGCCAAATCGTCCTTGGCTCCAAGGGACCCCAACGGCAGGGCCCGTCATCGATCACAGCCGGTTCTTTTGGGGTTCAGTTGCATTCTGGCAGGGTCGCCAATGGTTGAAAATATATTTTTTTTAAAGGTGCTGGCAGCCGCTCGTTGACAGTGATCTCCTTGGAGTGTTTCACACTGCTGTGCATCGCCGCTGTCTGCACATGCGAGAAGAGACGTGCCTGCAGAGGGCCCTTGTCCCTATCGTTCATGGCTGACCTCCACAGCAGGCTGCTGCTGCCGCTACTCATCGTCATGCCGCTCATCGTGGTTGTCGTGTTTGACTGCTGTTTTCTGGGGTGACGCCCTGGGAGGAGACATATGGGGCATCTTGGAAGTAGTCGTTCGTGCGTCATCACACATCCGCAAATCTTCCCCCATTCTCCGTTTCATCCACCATCTTGGTGTCGTGCGAGGGAGCACACTGGAACCCAGCACAATGCACAGTTGGACGATGGTCTCCGAAGTTGCGATACAATCAGGGGCGTCAAACATTCTTTGAATGAGAAGCCTTTGTCTGTGCCTCGAGAGCTTCGCCTTCATGCGCCCGGACGCTCTCTCTACATCACAGCGTAGGATGACGACCACCACCGCTGCCACCACTGTCATCTTCTCCATGGACGTTACCACAGCACGCCCATGTGCCCCACTGCCCTCCATTGTCGACGAACTTCAGAAAGACAACGTCACCAGCAACCCTGCCTCCGCGCCATGCACGTGTGTTCTCAGCGCACACGTTAACGTGCCACGTCGGCCACACTCTACGCAACTTCAACGCAACCACGGACTACGACACAACGCAGGACTTCGCCCACTGAAGCGTGCGCTCCAAGGTGCCACGCGCAGTGAGCGAAGAAGCCGAGCTCACGATGAAACACTACACATTGTTCGTCGGCGTTGTCACTAGAAGGGGCGACCATGCTCCCACGTAGATTGGAAGCCGAGGAAAACGAGCTATCCGCTACCCCGCCGCTGCGCTGGGATAGCCTGTGTGCCGTCTAGCTGTCGTCACTCAAATTTTGAATTTCGGATGGGGACATTCCCGCCTTTTTATTTCTTTTCTTTTCTTTTACCGGGCCCCCATGTATTTGCACCCTTCACTTGTGGACCAACATGCCACTTGAACGGACATACCTCCCACGGTTGCGTGTATTCTTGTAAAACTGGTCGCGGAAAGGCCTCGAGGATTTGTCCTGGGAACCATTCTGAGGACAGGTCGAACGACGCCCCAAGTCTCTTCTCACTAGTGGTGTGTGTGTGTGTGTTGGGGGGTGGGGCTGGGTTTTAGGGGGAAGGGGGACTGGTGTAATTGTTAGGCTCGTTCAGAAATCAACCACCTGTGATCTTGTCAGGGGATTGCCCTGTGCAGCACTTAGTGACAAGGAGCATTCATGTGCTCGTGCATTTTACTTCAATGGCCAATGAGTCTTCTTCTGGAGCACTGTTTTCAGAGTTTTTGATGCAGGGCAAGTTATGACGTGACATGACATCTTGGCCACCCAAGAAAACACATTGCGTCTGTTAGAACACATTCTGGCTTCAAAATCTTAACAACAGCATACCAGAGTTGTCATTTTCCAGTTGCATGGAAGGGAAAGAGATCTCACCCAAAATTTCATGCATTTTTCATTTCCATTTGGTGGGCAACACGTCTTTCATTTCCTTTTGCTGGGCAACACATCTTTCATTTACTTTTGTTGGTCGAGTCTGTGTGAAAGACAAAATCTTTACTGACTTACCATAGGGCACAGGTGCACAGCCTGTAGTTTCTGTTGATGTGGTTGGTGAAGGGTAAGGTAGTGATTATCTTGTGTTTATGTTTTTTTCATGTTTACTATACACAACTCCAGGAGTGTCTGTGTGTGTGCTTGTGTGCGCATGCTTGTATGTGTGTGGGGTGTGTGTGTGTGTCTGTGTGTGTGTGTGTGCGTGCGCGCGTGCGATACTTCGCAAAATAACCCACTCGCCAATTGGACCTGTCATCTTTATTGTTTTTCCCGGCCTCATTCTCGAGTAATGGAATTCATCTCTTTTTCCTTCTCAAAAAAAGGGAAAATTGTTCAAATGCCCCTGAAAGTTGAGGTATTTCATTAGATACCCCTAACAGGCATGGGTATGGCGAAATGCCCCATGACAATTGCGATACTTCGCAAAATAACCCACTCGCCAATTGGACCTGTCATCTTTTGCATATACCCCTACCAGGCCCTGGGCAACTTATCTATATGCCCCAAGATTTCTGGCTGTTGGGCCCTGCAGATGGCACAAAAAATGTGCCGGCCCCTATAGCCTGGGGTCAGGGCATATGGAGAAGTTGCCAATGGCAGGGACGCGCAGATACAAAAGTTGAGGGCATTTTCGCATACCCCAGTGTTTTAGGGGTATCTAACCAAATAAGCCAACTTTTATGGGTGTTTCAACAATTTTCCCAAACGAAAAGGCTATGGTGTTAAAAAAAACAAACATAAAAAAAAGGGTATGCTGCGCCGGCCACTCCTACATCCACCCGCCCCGTTCCCACCTGCCCCGACTCCTTGAGTTGCAGCAGGACCAGGTTGCAGGTCAAGGTCACAGTAAGGTTTCCGTCCGCCTGTACAGTTTCCAAGAAACTAATTCATATTTCAAATGTGAAATTTTGAGGCCGGGGACCTCACAATTCAACCCAGAGTTATCCCGACAGCATCAGCCGGTTTAGCTTATATAAGATCGTCTCAACAACAATGCCTTAACAAAAGCCAACCACTCACTGAGGTTTCCATCTTTCTCAATGTAGAGGAACCATTCTGCCTTCCCTAGTTAACTCTACACTTACCTGCCCTAGCCTATCTTAATCTATACGCAGACCTACTGAACGGTCTGGTACCCGGCCCAAAGCGGCCGAGAGGAACATCATTCGTTCTAAGAAGCTGGCACTCTCCCTTCTACCCACCCACCCACCCACGCAGTCTACTGTGACTGCCAACTGGTACCGATGTGACGCCCAACCTCACGCCCAGTGCGACTTCCTGATCGGAGTGGGATGGGGGCCCGGAAGTGCAAAAAAAGGGTGTGCCAAGGATGTTAGGAAAGTGGGGGTGGAGTCCCAGGTCGGAACTGAGATCTCCTGTGGCAAGTT